GCTTCTCTTTTACCGTTTTTCGTCGTTTAAATAACTATGAAAGATTTGCCAAAGGGAAACAAATACCAAATTTCAAAATAAACTGATCGGATTTTCTTGATAAAACAATTTCCGCCGTGTTGTTTGACACCATGGCATGTGCCCGTACGTCACATGGTTCGTATCTCAATTTTCTTCATCAACCGAACTGAAAAAAGTATTATATATCAATGTCAATTCAACGTACAGTGCATTTTATCAAGTAATTGTGTGCAAATGTTTTATTGTCACTGGCATTGTTGTCAGATTTTGTTCTTGATTGCTTTTTTAGCGCTCTCTTTTCGAGCATTTTTCATTAAAATTATGCGGGGGCCTCGAACATACCTTTGTTCGTTTGTTCGTTTGAAATCAATGTTTCGAACGAACGAACGAACATTCGAACGAACGCGAACAATCAAACATTAGTTTTTTATCCTGTTCGAATGTTAACGAACATTCGAACATTTGAACAGGATAAAAAAACTAATGTTTGATGAAATAGTGCATACACACTCACAGAGTGGCAAGCGTGTATGAGTTTATAATTGAGCGTATGCAACTGAACCACAGCATAATATGCAGGAATTGAAAAAAAACACATCAAGCACGTATCGAACTGATCTAACACAAGTGTAACACAAAACTACGCTATAACAAACTTTGTGTCAGCTACGAATTTCGATATATAGTGTGAGATATATGAGTAGAGAAAATACATGTGTGTGGTGAGCCGTGAGCACACGAATACATTCACACATAGTGCTCGCCTCTACACATGCAGCCCGAAAATATACAGAGAGATGAACACGTTTCTTTCGCTTCTTGCTTATTGAAAGAAAATATCAAAAGAATATTAGTATAAGCCTTCCGTGTGTAAAGCAATTTTTTGGGTGAAAGAAAAAGATTATTATATTTTGTTTGGATAAATTTCCAAACAAACATCCATAAGTGAAAGAATTTTCTTTTTGGTAGATAATTGTGAAAAACAATTTTTTTTAAACAAAAAATAAAAGAGAGAAATATAAAAAGAATGAAATAACAAGTGCGTGAACTAACGGCATGTTAATTAGTGTTATTGTAAAGAGAGAAACATTTTTTTTCTACTCAATTTAAGCTGAACAAAAATAAAAAGAGTTACACATTGAGAATAAATGAGACAATTGTTACTGTAAATACTGTGCGTGTATGTATTTTGTATGAATCGAATATACCTTATGGTCAAATGATGTATAATACGATGATGGTTGTGATGACGACGATGTTATAAATAAGAATGTTAAAATCAACTATGTAATGTACAGAATAAAAAAAGTTTCTAAACCATCGTATTGCATTGCGCACGCTACATTACTATACAATTCAACGACAATACATGTGCGCTGTTTTGTCTATTTGCGTTTTTTTTTCTCTATTTTATACTATCTCATGCCGTTGCCGTTATATACGCTTTACAATATTTTCGGCATTAAAATAATTGTTGAAAAGGATTTGCTCTCAGTTTTCACTTCTCTCTTTCGAAGAAAAAGTTACTAAAGTACCGTAAGAACAGCGCTGAGATACGCAAACGCCTGTGTAATTCACGCGCCGAAACCGTCACCGACAAAGAGGCAATCGAAATTTTGCGCAGCGACAAACACGAAATCGATCTTGGTGATTTTTTTTTTGGAGTGCATGCAAGTCGAACAAGAACTAGGAGAAGAAGAGCATCATAACTCATCAACAGCAGCAGCAATTGAAATTCTCACAATCGATTTGACGACAGAGATTATGGAACATGCGCATGAATTCGCCAATGCAAAGCAACCAAACCAATCCACCGATGAAAAGCAAACAAAAACGGCTGGTATACAAACAACAAAGAAAACATTCGACAAGCCAGCCGTCAATATTGCACGCATCAACAATGATCTCGTTGAAATCAAAGGGAAAAAGGGTCAATCGTTGTGCAAACGATTGCAGGATCTGTACAAAAGCGATGCGATGAAGTGGAACGAAACAAATAATCGAATGTCAATTGGAGACGCAATGCTGTACGATGAGGACACCGCGTATTATCATCCATCACTTGGTACGGAGCGTATATTCCGCCATATTACAAACGTTGAGGGAAAAATGAATGGCAATAATGTTAGTGGTCATGATGGCATGTACACCAAATTGCTTAATCAAATCAATGTCGAAACATATCCAATAAAATTCGAAATAACTGTTCTGCATGATTTGGGTATGCCTGCAACCATATTCGAAGCGTGTTTATCGAGCGCACTAAAGGCTCGCGAGGATAGTGCTGAGCACATTTGGAGACACAAATAAAATCACACACTCGAAGATCTCTTGTAAATGAACAGCAAGGCGTCACCGACAAATTTCAATGCGACTTCTGTGGATTCAAAACAAAAACAGCAAGACTACTTAAGTTACACATTAGTTTTAACCATACCACCTAAATAAAATTTCAAATAAAATTTTACATCGTTTCAATTTTTTTGTCGATATTTTTCCACACATTTTTTTCATCGTAAAATTAATTTAACGAAATTCAGTATATAATCAGTTCTATAAAAAAAAATAACTATAGAGGAAATAAATAAAACAAAAGATATAAATAAAAATCTCATTCAATCAAATATAAAATTAATTACTAAATTACAAGAATTTAAATTTATTAATTCTAAGAACAATGCCAAAAAGTGGGCCAACTATGACAGCTTGCAAATTTTTCAAACCTTGCTGCTGTCATAACAAAACAATGTACGTTTAATTCACGATAGAAGGATTCACCCGAAAAATCAAATGATATAAATATAAAAATTATTTCATTTTTTTTTTTATTATTCCAATTATTTTGAATAATTAATACTTTTTTTGTATTATCATCGTTTTTAATATTTCCATTTCAATTTATTTAATTCTTATTTGCGATCACGCATGTGATGCAAATGTGCCGTTTGAGAGTTAAACGCACTCTGCTTAGTTATGACAAATGTAGGGTTAGACAAACTCTCAGTCAAAAACTGCTGGCTCACTCGTTATATGAAAAATTGACATGGTTAATCAGAGAATGGAATGACGCTAGGGATATATCGCGATACTATTGATAGTACGATATATTCAAGAAGATTAAAGTGAAAGAAAAGCTTTGGAGAGGGTGAGTAGTATACCTTTACTAAACTAGATTTAATGTTTTTTAATTTTGTTTTCATATTAAAGCGCTAAAAAAATTGGAAACTTCTTTTTCCCGTCCTTGTGAAACGAATAAATGGATTGGACAATTGGAACCATTGGATTGGAACAACTTATTTTTCATTCACATCCAATCTTCTTAAAAACATTCTTTTAAGATAAGTTTAATAAAACATTTGATTTATCATTTCAATTGTAAACATTTCGTGGAAATAAAAAGATTTAAAAAAAATCAACTGTGGAAGAAGCATTTTCTCCTGGAGGCCGTCATATCTTATTAGAAATAAATAATTCATTGACTTTCTCTCCTTTCATATCCAATTCAATCGATCTTTAACTGCTTTTAATTTGAGATATGCTATCAATGCCAAAACTCATTTAAGAAGATTCATGAGCTGGTGCAGCAACTAGTCATAAAATGTCCGTTGGTTTACTGGCGCGTATACGCTCATATAGCATTTGCCAGCATTTGATCATATTCTTCATGGTTTTCCATTCTTCAATTTGCAATAACCGTTTTTTATCGGCATTGATCGGTTTAACAATTTGGTGCGTCACAATATAAAGGTAATGTATTTCCAATGATCAATTTATACGTAAGTGAAATTAAAATTAAAAAATGCAATTTGCTAGCTTCATAACCGCTTGTTAAGATAAATTAAAAGAGCAAAACAATACATTTCCTTAGTGAATGTGCACAAAAGTGAACGAAAAGATTTTTCAAAAAATCCCAATAAACATAAAGCTTTTTTGCTCGTTCGACATTAGATCGTGTATCGAATAGATTTTACAAAGTTGGAATAAAATGGATTTTTTCTTCAAATTCAAACAATACAAATACAATGTATTACAAATTGCTGGGGGCTCGGAACTTGAAAAAAAAAACATCAAATAAATACAGTTTTGTATGAATTTGGTATATAGCGACAAATATTACAAATATTCGTGATTATCGTAGTTTTTTGTAATTATACAACCCGCATATTGCAGCGATTTGAAACACACACAACACAAAATAAAATTAATAATCATGTTATATATATATGTATATTATTTTCAGGCTAAAAATTTATATTTCTTCAACAAAAAAAAAATAATTTGGATGAAGAACTTCAAAAGTGTGTTAATATTCTTATATATAGTAAACCTTTGTGATTTTATAAATGACGTTCCACTAAATGACATGCACCGTTTGCCGCCATTTTGGGTATTTACGATAATCAGGAATAATGATTTTATTCACGAATATTCACAGAAAGTGAAGTTATTGTTCACTACTCAAAATGGACCAATATTCATGAATATGCATGGTTTTTCACAAATAAAAAATACTTCCGAGCCCCTAGACAAATTGTAATCCGAAGAATCTACAAAAACAAAACATAAAACAAGGTAAATGGACAAATAAAACATTTTAGAGGGAAATTTTGTAACAACAATGGTCAATTTAAGATAATTAAAATAACAGTCGATTCTCCAAAAATGTTTGAAACACTTTGGTTATATACGTGGAGATTTTCAGAAAGTTACCGGGAATCCACCGGCTCGTCAAAAATCGGAACAAATCCAAAGAAATTTTCTATTACCGAAAAATATTTCTTTGCAATAAATTCCGTTTAATGAACAAAAGCATTGTGGGAGTATTAATAATAAAAAGAAATATTTTTGCTGCTTCTCGTCATATTCTTGCTGAATACAATAGATAGATAGTATTTGAAGAATGATTTGTGTGAAAACCTGATTTTCTGTATAAATGAAGGTTGCGGTTGCACACAAAACAGTTCAGCAACAATATCAAATTGATGCAGTTTATCTAAGATAGATTCAGAAATCAGTTTATCATTACGAAGCATTAAAGCTCAACGTTACAATGCCACTTTTAAAGTTTTTTGCAACTATTCTGTTGCTTTCATTTGTTCTGGTAGAATGTGCTACTATGGTGGCTCCAAGGAGAGAAAAGGACATTGAGGAGGATTCTTCTCCTGAAGTCGCATCTGTAAAACCAATAAATGATGATAAACACCCAATTCATGAACCGAGTTTGCAAGCGATGAATAAGTATTAAATGAAATACAATTTTTAATACTTTTCCCTGAAGTTGAAAATGTTTGGTTTATTTTAATATTAGTGAAGTCGTCATGAAGGTGCCATTCGATTGGCTAACGGACAAGCTCTGGGAAGGGTAAATAATATCTCATTAACTACATATTTTCTAAATTCATCCTTTTCTAAACAATTTAATGTTGTTTATCTTTTTTTTTAATAATGAAGCGCAAAAAGCATTGGAAGTTTTATGTTTGGACACGATCCTGAAGCCACTGTAAAAGAAACATGCACAACATGCAGCCCCAACTGGAAACCGCAAAATGAAAAATCCAACAAGCTTTTCTGATTTCATCCACATGGCGGAAAAACTTTATGCTCGCCTTACATGCAGGGTCGAATGTCACAGTTTAAAAAATTAAAAAATTTCTGACAGAAATGTAACAAATATATCAATTAATTAAACATCTTTTGAACAAAAAACAATGACATATATTTATTTGTAATGATCTTAATGTATTTTTAACGATGTTTTGTTGTTTTTCTTTTTTTTCTTCGGCTTCTTGTCGCATATCTTCTAAGTCTTCCATTAATCCAATCTTTTTGCTAACAAATTCTTCGCGATGTTGTTGTGCATATGAACTCTCCATGTTGCTAATCTCGATAACGTCTCTTATCATACCCAAATATGTTTCGAATTTCTTTCGTTGGCCTCTTCGTCATCGTCAATGAAATCGTCAATGTCCGAATCATATTCGCTGTCACCCAATGAGCCATTTTTACTAAAAGGCATGCATACAAAGGTAGCATAATGTATGCATCGTGAATATACATACATTATGCATATAAACCTATAAATTAAAAATTGCAACATGAAAAGTAAACAATTCTTTTTCTTTTGCAAAGTATATCTTTATTGTTGGAGTTGAAACATTCAAAATGTGATTTATTCCCGTTACATGAACATCATTGTGCACCTTTTTATTTTGCGCTCTTGAATGTGCGATTTCAAGTGAAACGGTGTTCGGCTTTGAGTCTGGTTTTATTTGTCTCTTTCTCTATAAATTAAAAAATGTTATCATGAAAAGTAAATAACTCTTTTTTTCATTTGAAAAATATACCTTTTCTGATGGAATTGAAACATTCATAACGCATTTTTTTCCCGTTACATGAACATCATTGTTGTCTGTTTTTACAGCTACTGCCGCATGCGAAATTGGGTTTTTATTTTTCTTTGGCGTACTTGCAGGAGCAAACAAAACCGTTTTCGACTGTGATCTCGTTTGTCTCGATTGAATTTCAATTTCTGGTTGTATTTTTTTAACCACAACATGTTGTCTTGCTTTACTAATGTTTTCTTCTTATATTTTTGCTTGTGTCTTTTGACTCACTTTCAATGTACTTGTAGGAAAAATTAAAGTCGTTTTTGACTTTGACTTTGATCTTGATCTAGTTTGCATTTTTGTTATCAGAGAAACGTTTCCTTTTTTAAAAAAAATAATTATTTCTTTCCAAGCCGCTGCAGCGTATGGTACAATGAAAATAATGGTTTTCGTTCAACTAACATGAAGTTGAATCAGATAAAAATTGACAGCAGATCTGCTCACCTCATTCTCATGCATGAAGTTGAAGCAGATAAAAGATTTTTGTTATTATACGTTAAAATTATATTGTATTAAAAAATATTCAATAATATTAAAATCTAATAATAAGTGAAAATAAATTAAATTAAATAAAAACAAAAATGTAAACAACCGGCATTCGTGTGTGACTTGTCAAGTCGATTTTGACAATTGTGAATACGTAAAATACATACAATACAACTCTGTCAACTGTCAAATGTGTTTGTTTACACTCTATATGTGTCTATC